GATGTTTTGTAGCATCACCAGAAATTTGGCTGAACCAAGCAGATGAGAGGAACACCCCACGGCACCCCCACGTGAGGGTGGGCATGGCGGGGCCCCCCTCTTGGCTCATGGCTTTGGAACACACACGACTCTGCATTGCAGGGAAGGCTGCTTCAGGCACAGGGCTAGGCTCCTGGGCTTGGCACAGGAACACGGAGAGGCAGAGACCAACAGAGAGCAGTTCGCAGAGGAGGTTCTTATTTGGGGGAGGAGTGTGAAATTGCTTCACCTCAGAGCTCAGGGGCAAAGTCAGGAGAACCAGGCAGGTTTACAGGAGGGACCCGTGTCTGCCCCACACACCAACGCCCCTATGAATTACACCTGAAAGGAGATTCCCAGACGGAAAAAGCAAAGCCAGCAATGGAGCAGATTTAAGTAGTGAGAAGTCCTTGGAACTCGTTTGTCAGAGGGCAGCTTTGGTGGCTCCCCTGCTCAGCCCACCCAGCTCCCTGCCTGCTGCCGCTTGCGCCAGCGGCCTCACAAAGCCTTCTCATGGAGAAGCAAGTGTGGGGAAGCCTTTGGTGCCTAGGCCGGTAGGGTGGCAGCGCTAAGCGTTTGCTTCCTCCAGTGCAGATGGGTGCTGGGGCTGATGGACAAAGGATGGAGAGTGGGGGAGAACGGCTGTGATGAGCGGGAGCCAGCAATGATGTCCCCACTCCACAACGCAGGGTGGTTTTGACTAGGCTTCTACAAGTCATCTACAAGATACATTCAGCAGCGGTCTCAAGTGCTGTGCTTGGAAGTATTCTGCTTGTTTCCCTTCCCTCCCCATCTTCGACCGGTGGGGAAGGGAAGGCCACCAGCTCCAGGGCACACCTTTGTCTTTACTTTGTGACTTGATGGATGGCATGAGCCAGGTAACCTACATTGCCTGATGTAACTCCCGCCACAGAGATTCGTCCGTCCTTTGTCATATAGATGGAGAACTCCTTGGTCAGCCGCTCCACCTGGGGTGAAGAAAACAGAGTTCAAACCACAGGCCAACCTCTGTGCTCTTAGCAGAGTGCAAATTTACCCAGCTTGCCAGAATTGAAAGTTGAACTGGGAGCCAGCAGGCATGGCATCCCACTGCCTGCAGAGCCAGTAGTGCACCCCTGTAAACCAAGAGAGATTCTGCTCGGTTCTCAGGCAACACGCAGATGCTGTGAGTGTTCAGCCAGGAGAGTCACCTTGCTTGAGCTGACCTTTAAGGTCACCTTAGAGTGGCACCAAGTGACTGCTTCCTTTGACAGATAAGCAGGCTCCATCTGCTTTCAACCTCCACAGAGCAGGGAGCAGAGAAGACATGGGTCCCCACATCCCCACAATGCTCTGGCACTACAGGCTTGGAGATGCTCCTCCTGGAGGAATCAACGAGGGCTCATTTTGGCACCTGCAGTCAAGATCGTACTGACAAGGACCACAAATGACACCTTGAGACCACGGGAACTGTGTTTACCTGCTCAGGCTTCAGCCCTGTGAAGCAGAACATGCCAATCTGGTCAGTGATGTGCTGCCAGTTGTGGGAGGATCCCTCTTTCTTGAGGTTGGACACCAGCTGAGTCCGCATGCTGATGATCCGGTCAGCCATGCTCTTCACCTCCACGAGCCTGAGAAGCCAACCAAGGAACCGCTCAGAGCAGGGCTGGGATGCGCCAATACTGCTCTCCCCACCAGCTACCGGAAATCAACCCTCCCCACCTGGAAGGACCTCAGATCCCAAAAACGTGGGGGATGCAGCTGAGCAAAGACCAGAGAGCATGAACCTGTAGCTCCAGCTGGGGAGCAACTTCTTTCTCCTGGTACTTGAAGGTGGCTGCTATATATTTATTCCATAGCTGTTGGACACTACTACCAGAGTATTGGCATCTCTCCCTTCTGAAAGCCATGGGTGAGTAGGAGGCCTCATGGTAGCACTGCCCAAACCCAGATAAAATAGCATCTGCAGATAAATGAAGAGTTGCGGGGGTACCTCCCAGCGCAGGCAGACTTCCCTGCTCCAAGGCAGCAGAGCTAGGAGAGGTCTCTGCTGGGCCCTGGATCAGGCACAAGCATCAGCCTGTGCCAAAGGAACATGGCCCCCAGCGAGGCCACAACACACAGCCAGCCTTTGTTCTGCCAGGCCATCTGCTGGCAGGGTCTCAACACCGAGGGGCTGGGAGAGCAGCACGGGCTGACACCGGGAAGCTGGCTTAGGGCATGAGGGTTACATTCCCGGGTCTTATTCCCAGGGGACTTATACTTCCACTTCCCCCCTGTGAGATGTACTATGTGGCTACAACGCCTCAGTCAGATCCCACAGCCCTCAATCCCAGGGGAACTTTACCTCCTCCTTTACAGTGTTTTCTGCCTTGGTAACACAAGGGGAACCCATTTGTGTCAGCCTGGACTGATACCAGCTGATGCCAGGACACAAGCAAGGATTTCTCTGGAGGAAAGGGGTGGCATGCGGTTCTGACTGTATCCCCGAAGCTGTGAGCTGCCCGTGACAGCAGGATGCAGCAAGCACAGCACGGGGCTGCCACAGAGAGACCTCGTGTCTCACTGTTGTGAGCATTAGGGGTTCCCTCTTACCACTCCTTACGAAGGTCAGGGGTGTTCAGGATGATAGAAGCAATGCGGGCTCCGTTCAGGGGTGGGTTAGAGTACATGGGGCGGATGAGGATCTTCAGCTGTGATTCTACCCTCTTGGCTTCCTCTGCATCACTGCAGATCACCGTGAAGGCACCCGCACGCTCTCCTGAAAGAGGGGCAATCAGGTCCCAGCCTCTGCTCTTGGATAGCCAGGGCTGGGGCAGGACTTATCCAAATGCCATGTAGCTTTAGCGGAGACATTCTCTTAGAAGGGTCTTAACCCGCTGGGAGCTGGTTATCTCCCGCACCCCGACCTGTACTGCAGGATGAACACAGGCAGCAGAAAGACACTGGCTGCCAAAGTCCGGAGGCAGTGGGGTCCCTCCAGCAGCCTGCGTGAAGCAGTCTCCACACCACCTGCCCTCACTCACCATACAGCCCCATGTTCTTGGCGTAGGACTGTGACAAGATGACATTGATGCCCTGCTCGATGAAATACCGCACAGCCCAGGCGTCACGGTTGATATCCCCACTGGCAAAGCCCTGGTAGGCCATGTCAAAGTACACAAGGAGGTTCCGTTTCTGCCAGTAAAGGAGGTTTTTTTTCGGGTCATAGGAGCTGTTCACCCCCGCAGGGAGCAGGGCAGTAGGCTGAAAAGAGCCATGCAGGCAGTGGGCTGCTCACCTGCAACTGTGCTTCCCCAGAAGGAGAGCTCTTCCCCTTCGTTTGCAACAGGGAAGGCATCCCCAAAACCAGCTACCCACCACCGAAACAAGCAGGTCAAGATCCTCCCCCGTGCATTTATGGGATGTGCAGTCTGGCCCAGAAGGCAGAATTGGATTCAGCAGTAATAAATTATTCCATTTCAGTGTCTCCTTTATTATCAGTTTCCAGGAAAACCACCTGGGAACCCTCTGGGCAGGTGCCAGCCCTTCCCATGCCTCCAGGCAGATAACCCAGCTGCGCTGCCCCTCAGTCAGGAGACCCACAGCCACCTGTAGGTCCCAGAGGCCACTCTGATATCTACCAATTCTCAGACCACTCCTAAGGCCTGGCATCCCCAAGCCAAATTTCACTGGCTACAGCTTGGAGGAGCAGCAGGGAAGAAAAGGAGAAGGATGGAGGAAGAACCTGCCCCTATCTGTTTACGGCTGAAACTCATGAGGAGACACCAGGCATGTGAAAGATCTTCCAACATTTTTAATACACCAGCGCTGGGAGACCCTTCCCAGCTATCACAGCTGACTCTTTCAACCCTGCTACTTTCCTTTTAGGTTTCCCTACCCCAGCTTCCCAGGAAGGCACCAGCAGAAAGTCTGGTGGTCAGCTAGAAGCTTTATGGATCCGCTTGTCTGGCTCCTGTCTTCAGGACAGGAACATGACACCCATCCTGGCTTCTTCACCTTTAGCGCAGTGAAGACCAGACACCAACCCATGAAAGCCCAGAGGAGCAGCACAGTCAGTACCCTGGGACACTCTCCTGCTCACCTTCACCGTAGCCGCCAACTCCTTCCATTGCTCCTGCCGGGGATCCACCCCGGTGGGGTTGTGAGCACAGGCATGCAAAAGGATGATGCTCTTCTCTGGAATTTTCTAAGGAAGATGTTATAGAGAATGAATTATTAATGACATCTGAGCACTCTCCTCAGCAGCTGAGATGGGACTCTTGCCCTACACAGCTTAGACAAGCTCTGCAAGGCTTCTAGCCTTCATTTGGTGCCTTCAGGCATCATATTAAAAAATGGTCCGAGGTCTGGAGCCCCTCTCCTACGAGAAAAGGCTGAGAGAGTTGGGATCGTTCAGCCTGGAGAAGAGAAGGCTGTGGGGAGACCTGATTGTGGCCTTTCAATGCTTAAAGGGGGCTCATAAGAAAGATGGGGACAGACTTTTTAGCAGGGCCTGTTGCAGTGGGACAAGGGGCAATGGTTTTAAACTCAAAGAGGGCACATTTAGACTGGCTAGAAGGAAGACATTTTTTACAGTAAGCATGGTGAAACCCTGGCACAGGTTGCCCAGAGAGGTGGTGGAGGCCCCATCCCTGGAAACATTCCGGGTCAGGTTGGATGGGGCTCTGAACAATCTGATCATGTTGAAGATGTCCCTGCTCATTGCAGGGGGATTAGACTAGATGACCTTTAAAGGTCAAACTATTCTATGATTCTATGATATTTAGGCTCAAGGAAGATGATTACCCATCTTCCCACATCACCTCCCTGCTTCCAAGCATGAAAAGCAACTCACAGAAATGTCATCCATGGCTCCAGAGAAGTCAAGGCTGCATGTCTTGGGGTCGTAGTAGCGGTAAGCCTGAAGCTGCAGGCCAGCATCACGAAAAATGGGTGTGTGATTGCCCCAGGACGGTTTGGGTAGATACACATCACGGCTAGACTTGAAGAACCGTTGCTGATCAAGAGAAAGACAGAGCATCCAAACAGGTTGAATGGATTCAAACAGTTAGAAAACCCCAAAGATTCAGCTCTGGTCAAAAGATGTCCTTCCTCTCCTTCCCCCACCAGACAGGGACTCACCAGAAAATTGGCTCCAATTCGCAGAGATCCAGTCCCAGAAATACCCTGCACAGTGACATACTGCAAGGGAAGAAACAAATACACAGGTCTGAGCAGCCAGGGTACGATACAGGGAAAGCGCACTCACTGCGTTGGCAGAAGCAAACCTCTGCGACAGCTCACTCAAACAGGGACACTGGGCTGGAGGGAACCGCATGGGTCAGCAACTCCAGCTGCAGGGCAGGGAGTTGGGACCCCTGGCAAGGTCAAATCCACTCCTCAGGAAGGGTTATTTTGCCCCAGCCTTCAGAGGAAGCAGTTATCCTTGGGTCCGGCCAGCTTGCAACACAAAGGCATGAGTACCTGGCCGGTCCTTCCACTTTTGCTGGGCAGCCATGTACCAACTGTGCGCCAGACAGCACTGCCCACCCCTGCTTCCCAGCTCGCTCCTTACCCGGCCACTCTTGAAAGCCTCACTGTTTTCACCCAGTGCCAGTTCTGCAGATGCCCGGGTGAAATCCGCTAGCCCTGCAATAGGCAGGTACTCCTTGTCCATCTTCTTGGATGCTATCATGGCCTCAGCCTGGGAAGAAGGACACACATTCAGCACGGAAGGCATCACCATAGAGAGGATGGTAGACAGCTCAAGGTGGCTTCTCTTCACATTCGCTTGCTCAAGAGGGGCAAAGGTTGGTTTTACAGAGTTCCTCTTCAGAGATCAGGGCTCATTCAAAGCCAGGGCAGCAGTAAACATTTCAGGTGACACTCTGCTTTTATCACAGGGCAAGGTGCCCAGTGGCCACCAGAGCCCTTAGTGGGTCGGTATAGCAGAGCCAGGAAACCCGGCGCTAGAGGAGAGCAGCACTTCCAGCCCGTTACAAGTCAGCACTGCTGTACAAGGACGCACGTTTCTTTGCCCAAGCAGGAACTGTCCTGCAGGAAGGAGAGACTTGACTGTTACCAAAAAGCAGAGGTTGTCTCTACATAGGGAGACATCCCCAAGCCAGGCTCCCTTTGTAGGGCCTCGTCATACTGGGAGCGGGTTAACAAAAAAGCCCATCCCAGCCAGCGTTGAAAGCAGCCTGTCTGAAAGCTAGCTAGCTCACCCAACCCCTAAACACTGCTCCCCCGAGCTTTGCTAAGCTCTACTTTCAAGCAGATCCTGCATCAGAAACCAGTTCAGGTCCCTACCTAACACAGGATCGGAGAGCAGAAGCAAGAACAGCAAACAAGGATCCATGCTCAGGAAAAAAATGCAGTGACGGAGACATCTGGAGCGCTCTGGGAACCCTATCCATGCTCCCAGACCCGGGGGACAGACCCTAGCAGCATTCACATACCACCATAAAACTGTTCCTGTGACACCACCCAGGCTCCCCAGTTGTGACCCAGCTGCAATACGTGCTGACACAGGGAGAGCGAGGGGAAGGGATGGCTTTAAACCCTACACTGATGAAAAACATGGACAACGCGTCCTCCCTGTGCCAAGGAGACCAGTCGGTCAACACGCATGTCACCTGCCAGCTATTACTGGCCTATTTCTACACTTACAGCCCTGAAAGGCTCCATAATCCCTGCAAGGGCAGTGTCCACATCCAGCTCCCTGGGCTGGCATTTTAGACTGGCTTATAGAGAAACCGGTAACAACAGCTCAGCAGAATTTCTAAGACTAATCCATTAAGGGGACAACATCAGCTCTTTCCTCCCATGTGGGCCAGCCCAGGGAACATCAGCCTGTTGAAGAAACACCTTGAAGTTCAGAGGACAGATGGGTTGGAGGGCTCATGGAAGTCAACAACAAATTAGATTTACCCAGATGGGAACAGGACATGTCTTAATAACTGACTCTGTTGTCTCTCAAAAGCATTAGTACTGCTAAGGAAGACATCCAGGAACACTGTCCTGCTCTGCTAGAGACAAAGCCTATTCTAAGGACCAACAGGCAAACCTTGCCTAGAGCCCCTTCCCTCACCCCCCCAGGGCACTCAATGCCTTGGATCCGGGCCTGCCCAGCAGCCAGCACCAGGCTCACCTTGCGAACACAGTTCAAGACGTACGGCTTCCCGTTGTCATCCCGGTATGCCCCCACACCCAGGTTCATCTTCTTGGAGTTGGTGTCACGCTTGAAAGCTTCTGTCACCCCCAGGATGGGGTCAGGGGGACCCATTTCCACATGGGACCACCATGAGCTGAAAGGGAAAAAAAAGGAGCAAGAATTAGGCTTGAGAACTGGGCAGGGAGGTGCACCAACGTGGCTACAGAGAAAACCTCAAGGGAAATCTTGTTTTTAAACCACTAGAAAAGGTAAAAGCAGCGCTAAGAGAATTATCCAGGGGGAAAAAAACCCAACTCCTTTATATTCCATGATCTGGCACTGCATTTTACATTGCAGAATGGGCAAAGAGCCTCAGTTCACTGTGGCTGAGGATAACTGACCCTCTCCAAGTCATTAATGCATAGAAACAGCCCTGCTTGCCTTATATGTTGACACCAGAAAGGCCAGACCCAGGCAATTGCACAAAGCACAAATACAGAGCCTCTCCCAAACTCCCGGAAGGGCTCTTGTGTATGAAAACTAATCTGCTTTTCCCACAACGTCCACTGACCTAATGAAGAAACTTCTCTTCCCTGCCCTACAAACTCTGCCTTGCTTGAAGAGAGATGTTGCAGCCAATGCTGTTTTCCTGGAAATCACACAGGACACTTTCTTCAGTGACAAGCTCTGATGTGAAGGTCCCTTCCTTGGCTGTGAAGCACGAAACCTCCCGGCATCAGGAGCTTTGCCCCCCACTCCCCAGCAACCACTCTACAAACCACCTGCCTCTGTCCTGTTGGCAGGACATCCTGAAGACGGAGAGGCTCCCTTAATGTCAAGGGCAGACCAGACCACGCTATAAAAAGAAAACTGTTATTCTCCATTTGGCCACGGCCTCTGCCCAGCCCCATGTCCAGGCTTTGCAGGCTTGTAAATAGTGCAAGAGGCGAGGCATTGGTGGGTTTTAATCTGCTTGACAGAGGGCTGTGGCTGTAACAGCCCCCTCCAGAAGACAGGAGTACTAAAGATGACGACTACAGGCAGCTCTGAGCATCTTGACTCACAGCATCATGCAGGCGGCTATCCAGACCCCAGAGCTTGGCAGGGGCAAAGTGTGAAGCACAAGGCAGATGTGCTCGGTGTGGTGACAGATACAGTACATCTGAAGGCAGCAGGGCCAGGCGGGTTAAGGAAGCTCTAGCGCTCAGCAGAGCATCATCTTCTCCCTCCACTCTGTCCCTGTTTTGGGTCAATTTAGACCCAGTTTACTCACTACATAAACATACTTTGCACTAGCATGTCTATGTAGATTGCATCTCGTGGAGCCCCAAACATCATTTGCCTGCTTCAGACTTAACTGCTCTTCCCATCAGTACAGCACTCCCAAATAAAAAGCTTCTGTTCCTCCTCTTGACAGGCTCTGTGGAAAAAAAAAGGGTAGCAAACACGTACAAGGCAGAACCACCTCGGGTAGTTTAAAAATGGAAGATGTGCTTAGCATTTTCTAGACCACTAACAAGTGTTAATTACCTCTCTGAAGGAGGATGAGTCAGTTGTGCCAGCAACACACACCCTCCAGAGAGGGAAACGGGCTGCAGGCAGTGGGGAGGGAGCAGCCGAGGGGGTTGTCAGGGCAAAAACCTACTGCAGGTTCAGGCAGCATGCAATGCTGCTTTGGAAAACCTCTCCCGACACCTTCCTGGCAACACAGAGAGAAACACCCTCTGCGCAGGAGCGTGTGCCTCAGCAGTTTACCTGCTCTATGATTATTTTGGTATCAAGGGCTGCAGGAGCCTGGCCATCTCTTTTAAAGAGCTGCTGCTTCGGAGATGGTGACAGCACCTTCTTTCTGCTGGGCTTTTCACCAAGCGGCTTAACAGTGCTTGGGGTATTTAGGTCCCGATCCTGCAAACACTTAAGCAGGTCACTGGGCTCTAATATACTACTGCTGCAATTAATGCTGATCCTGCAGGCGTTTATCTAAGCTGTAGCACTCCAGAGAGTTAAGTACTTTCATTCTGAGCCAATCTTAAGGAAGCAAAGGGTAGGTTTAAGACAGATTTTCCCATTCTCAGCCTGAAGGTTTTGGGGTGAAGGCTAAAGAAAGACTGCTCTGCTGTTTCCAGGGAGGTGAGCTTGCAAGGAGACAGGAGAAAAATGTCCAGGCTGAGTTGTCCAAACCCATCAGGACACCCAAGAGATCACACAGGCAAAGCTTTCTAGACAGGGGTTTGGGAGAAGAGATCTACTGGGGATCCGAGGCCACCAGTCCTAATGCACTGCTACCCCTATGTTACCATAACGTTGTTGTCTCTGCATTGTGTTATATTTCATTTTGAGCAATTAAAAGAGCATTGGTCTTGAATAAAGGTCGGAGTTATAAACTGCACATCCTCTCTGCCAGGCTGGAGGCATTTCAGTGCAGAAAACTAAACGAAGGGAAGTATAAGCTGGGCTTGAACTACCTGAGGGATACCCGATGTAAACCAAAGAAAGCACGACTTCCAGCCACAGGACTTGAACACAGGTGGCAGAGTCAGAGTTTAGATGCTGAGCAGACCTGATATTCAAGCAGTCTCCTTATTCTCCAGCCAGGCTGGTCTTCCGAGCTGGTTTAATGCACAGCTGCAAGCACAGTGTGACAGCTGGGACAGAGAGAAGGTAGGAAAATGCACCAGGAACTGTATAAACCAGCAACACCCTTCAAAAATGTAGGAGGAACTTACAGCCCGAGCTGTAGAGACCTAAGAGAGTGCTTATGGACTCAGGCCAAGCCCAGAAAACAAGGTTTCCTCTAGGCAAGCAAAGCATTTACAAGTCCAGTGAAGGTTTCCATCGTGAAGAGACCAATCCACATTCCCTGAGGTAGAGCCACGTAAGATACTGGATTTCAAAACCTCTGCCAAAGCTCCTGTGGCAGTTCTGCAAGCCGGAGCAGAGCGGACGGGCCAAAGGCGACCCTGGCTGGATACCACAGCTAAAGCAAATATTTACACAAGAACAAAGTCAACAGGCTACTACAGTCCTTTCAAGCCTAAAAATTCATTGCCCCAGTCAGCTGCTGCAAGCTTCCCACCAAGAAAAGCATTTAAAATAGCTGTCTGGTGATAACATCAGATCAGCAGACCGAGTTATCACCTTAATTAGTATGTGTGTCAAGGGAGCCATTTTAACCACTCTGTATCCCTTCACCTCCTGATTTCAGAAAGACCATTCCCAGCACAGAGCAATGGTAAGTACCACGTGAAGTCGCTGAAGATAAGGAAACAGAAAACTGCTAATCACTGCTTGGCATCCCTCAAGGGGGGATAAGAGGCGCTGTGCACAAAGGCTCTTTACTTACAAAAGGGATGATCTGCGACCCTTTGGAATAGGAAAATAAAACTGCACTGCTTTCCTGCACTGACAAGGGCTGGGAATTATTCCTTAAAGATTCCCGAGCCAGTGTGGGTCAGGAGTCAAAGGGCTGCGGAGAGCAGCCAAGGCCTTGCCCAGATCCCTCTGCTTCTTGGCCACCTGGTCACAGTGGCGTGCCCAGCCAGTGCCCTGTGGTTCTCAGGTCAGCTGTGCTTTGTGGAGCTGTTGTGGGCTCCAGCTCCACCCCGTATCCTTCCATCCATCCCTCTGCTGGCTTTGGAGACAGTGAAGTCCCTGGCTGCCAGCGCAGAACTGGTCCTCACAGCAAAAGCCTCGCTCCCATCCCACTCGCGCCAGGTTCCACACACCCAAAGGCATGGCTCTGGCGCAGGCAGTACAGCACGCTGGCACCGCTACCCCAGCCCCCGTTTCATGGTGTGTGTGGTGTGTGCCAGGCAGCAGCACCCCAGCCCCATTGCACAGCACATGGGCTCCCTCATGCCCCATTGCACCTGCAGGGGGTGCCACCAGCAGCACCTCAGGTCCGTTTCTTGGTGCCTAGGATCCCCCCAGGCCCCACTGCACAGCAGCATCCCAGCCCCACAGCACGGTCCCCAGTACCCAGGGCGCCCCCGGCCCCGGGTCCCCCCAGCCGTGGCGCATGGTGGCCAGGATGCCCCAGCCCTATTGCCTGGTGCCGAGGGCCCCCCGACCCCTATTGCCCGGGGTTCCGGAAGTCCCCCCGGTGACCGGAAGCCCCCCC